AGGGTTATGCCACTTGTGGCACTGATAAATGGGGATAGAACCTGCTCTACTTCCTGGAATGAATCACCAGGTACCCTCTGGTAAACGTTTACAGTTCGCTATGGAAAGTCACCGTTTTTACTGTGTAGATGAACGAACTAAATGATCATTTTCAATAGCAAACTGTAACAAATAACCAGAGGGCATATCACCATTAAATCCCCATGAAAAACAGTTAAATCACCTCTAAATCCCCATGAAATCACCACCACGATTCCCATGATCCAATGGTTTACCTCCTTTTTTCCTATGCTGAAGAGGCATCTTTTCTCCCAAGAGCGCTGCTCAGGATTTCGCAAGTGCGGACTGCGTCCAGTAGCGCCAAGTCGCGCTTCAATCCTGCGGAGGCTTTTCCAGTGGTACCATCCTCCAAAGCTAAAAACTGGTGGGTTTCCATAGCCATGGGGGATACCCCAATGGCCCAAGCTCGCTGTGTGGTATAAATACGGTATAAACCATCCCCGAATAGTAGGTCTATGATTGGCTTTCCCACGGATGGAGGTGTCCTAAGCCATGGGGAATCCAAAACAAAAAACATTCATTTTAGATTGGGATTTTCCATTATCAGTAGCAAGGCCTACAAGGAATACTGCGGTTTTTAGCCAACAATAGACCTATAATTTGGAGATGCTGTATACAACCCATTTAAAGTCATATTGCAGGTGCTTTATAGTTGGCTTTACGACATGACCAACAAGCTGGACATATGGGTTCAGAAGGTATTTCCAAGTGTGGTGGCTCTGGTTCAACTCGTTATAACACCTTGCCCCCTTTAAAAAAATGGTGTTCATGTTTTTGTTGTAGTTTCTCCATTGTTTTGCCGTTTTCAATGATGTATCCGACAGTCTCCCTTTTTTGGGAAAAAATGGACAACCGTTGGAGGAAATTGAACAAAGTTGTTTGTCAACGTTCCACCATGTTGCCCGTTTTGAATTCCGCAGGTCTAAGTTTTTCGAAATTAATGTAGCTTAATAACTTTGTCATTGTACGCATTTGTACGCTTAAAAACAAAACAGTAACGCTAGTTGGATAGTTCTGCATTAGAAGACACTTGTTTCAATTTATTGATTGGAATAGATTTAGAAGAACTCTCTGGGAAGACTTGGATAATTGGATGCGCAGCCCAGTTCGTAAGTGGCCTATAACCTATGTCAAGTTGTATAACCTATACATAATCCATATACAGCCAAGGATATTCCACAAGGAACTGTGGTATTTCATGTAGTTATTACCCACTTTCTCAGTAGTTACAAGATGCCCAAGTAGAGAGGATGTGCCACTCGCCTTGGGTATGTCAGATGTTTGATTCCCCAAAATGAAATCATGGAATCAATGCTAAATTAAATTATCATATACCCTCTGGTAGTTTGTCACATAACTATTAAAAAAAACACCATTTATCACAGGTAAATCATCTATAAATGGTCCATTTTCAATAGCTACGTTAAATAACCAGAGGGTATTGCCAGTAAAAATGTAGGTCAACTTGATGACGAGCGAAACCCCCAGAAGTTTGCCCCCAGCGCCCTCGCCTTCCGCACGAGACCCCAGCATTGCATGAAAATGCGCCCAACACAGCGCACGGAAAGAAAGCAACGGAGTTTTTGCAGCGGAAGCGCGCATCTGTGGTGAACTAATTCTGATGCAACGTCCTGATACCTCGAATCCTCGCATGCAGGCGAAGCTGAGACGCCACTTCGAAGAAATCCTGCGCTTGGCAAAGCGTGCTGACTTGGAAAAAAATGGCGGTCTCCACGCAAAAGGTCCTAAGAATTTTCCAGTAAAGATAGGGGCTGACGGTTTTGGCCAGTCTTGCATCGAAAGGTTCATTGAAAAAGGATTCCTGGCTGGTGACAGTCCGTCCGGCTGAGGGTTTCGCTTGCAGTGCATGCTGTTGACACGTGCCTCTCAATCACGCTGTCAAATTGCGGATAGCAGATATCAGAAATATCAGAAATCGGACTGTAGGCATCAATTGCAAGCGAGCCAAGTGTCCTTTTTTTTGCCTAAACTCTAGAAAATCCTCAATGTAAACTGCAACACGAATCGAAGTTGGAAAGTCTTTGACATCGTCATGTCTGATGGAGCTGTGCATGTAAGTGCTGGGACAGTGGATAGAAAGCATATTCCTCGACATATACCCTCTAGGAAACTAACAGTTCTCTATGGAAAAGCACCATCTTTCTTTCATAGGTAGATCAACTATAAATGGGCCATCTTCAATAGCTATGTAACAAAGAACCCGATCACCATTAAACCCTCATATTACTGAAATATTAGTGTTAATCATAATTATTGGCTGAAATCATGGATTTGATTGACGGTCAACAATGGATGATTCAAATTTGGAAATATTTACTGAAATATTATTAACTGAAAATATTGACAAGACTTGATTATCATTTCCTAGGGAATCATCCATTATTGATAGTCATCAATATTTAATCATCCATTATCGATAATCATATTATTAACTGACATTATGAATTTGATGTATTGTCAACAATAGATGATTCAGTTAGTAATTAATGGAGAACACTTAGTGTATAATTACTAAATGGAACTATTGATTATCGGAATCATATTCCAAGAATGGAAGTTGAGGATTGTTTTTGGGCTTTTAGGATAATCATATTATTATCAATTTGGATACGGTATTACGGTATTATTATTCTATGGGAATTATGTCTGATAATTACTGATCATTACGAGCTGAAATTAAACATCCATTATTGATCACCATCGTTATTGAATCATCCATTATTGATTATCATAAGATTCCCCAGACGAATATTTCAGTTAATAGTAAGAATCATAAGAATATTGGTTATTGACTATTGGTAATCATACTTATTAACTGACATTGTTGATAATCGATTATTATCTGAAATTAAGAACAATGATTTTGTTTTTTCTAGTTAACCATAATCATATTGTCTTAGTTAATCATAAGAATCTTCCGAAGAAATCCTCGCAGGCGCTGCGCTGTGCCGATCTCGCCAAGTCCTTGGCCAAGGCCGTGGGTGCCTCGCGCGTGGCTCGGCCATGGGTTTTTGGGTCGGAAAATGACGGGCTTTGAAACATTTAAAAAGCTGCGACAATGGAGGATTTATGGTGTTTTTTAGTGATTTATAGGATTTTTTCGGGATGTTTATGGACTTGTATGTGTTTTTGTCGGGTGTTTTTTAGTGACGCTTATTGCTGCTTCTGGATGTGATGATGTTTAATGGTGTTTCTCGATTGTTATAGATTGTTTATGCGCACTTAATTAACCATCAAATATCTGGAGCTCATGAAGTTTCAGCTATCAAAATTCATGATGGATCGGATACTTTCTGGATTTTCTTGAGATATAGGAGTGATGTTAAGCTGGTTTAATTTGATTTCCGATTTGAGTGATAACTAGGATTTTGTGAGACTTGATTGTGATTTTATGGGATGTTTATGGTATATATGTTTTCTCATTGATTTTATTGTGATTTAATGGGATCTATTTGGATCTAATGGGATGAATGCATGGTGATTCCATGTTGAATTGTGGATTGCTATGGGATATGATCGTGCCATTTGCAGTAGCCATTATGAACTATTAATCTGGGAGGAAATTACATGGGATGTAACCATCAAATATAGGGATTGTGTATGATTGTGTTGGGTTTTTGATTATCAAACGTGTAGAGAAATTCTTGATAAATAATGGTTGATGGCTTAATATAGGTGTTCTTAATCTATCTGATGTACCGGGAAATAGGACATAAGCTACAATTTAAAGGGATATTTATTTACCCACCAATGTGATGAGATGGCATAAGGGTATTCTTCATGGCTCAGCATTCAGGAAAGACAAGCAGGTGCCACCAGCAAGAAACCTCAGGATTGATACCCTCTGGTAAACTAACAGCTTGCTATTTAAAAAATGACCATTTAGTTCGTTGATTTACCCATAAAAGATGGGTGGATTTTCCACAGTTTTTTGTATGTTTACCAGCATTGGCTTCAGCCGAGCTTTTATCGGTTTATCGGTTGATGTTGTTCCGAAAAGATTGGCATTCGGCCAGAGTTGGGATTGCACATGATTGAAGCAAATCAAAATGTTGGTGTGTAAACAATATAGCCCAGGAACAATGATGAATTATCCAGGCCCACAACATCATAGACATATAATGGATTATTCCTGGTTGGTGGTTTGGAACAGTTGGATTATTTTTCCATATATTGGGAATAATAATCCCAACTGACTAATTCTGGTTGGTGGTTTGGAACATGGCTTTTATTTTTCCATTTCATATACGGATAATCCTTCCCATTGACTTTCATATTTTTCAAGATGGTTAAAACAATGTACACCTGGTTGGTGGTTTGGAACATTTGAATTATTTTCCATATATTGAAAATAGTAATCCCAACTGACTAATTCTGGTTGGTGGTTTGGAACATGGCTTGTATTTTTCCATTTCACATATGGGATAATCCTTCCCATTGACTTTCATATTTTTCAAGATGGTTAAAACAATGTACACCTGGTTGGTGGTTTGGAACATTTGAATTTTTTTCCCCAAGAGTTGGGATGATGATCCAATCTGGCTTGCATATTTTTCAGAGGGGTTGAAACCACCAACCAGACAATGTTTAATGTACAAAATCGAGAGTTGACCAGCAATTTTTGCATGCGACACGAGGATTGCAAGCCAAAATGGGATTGAACCCTGCACCTCCGGCGACAGCAGCAAGCCAAGCAGTTTCAGGGTCAGCTGTCGACAAAAATGAAGTGGCCAAAGCTGAGGCAGCTGTTGAGGGATGTCATGATGTCAGTGCGCCATCATCGCGAGCTGTAGAGGTATGCAGGCCTTGAAGAGTCTCTGCTTGCGGCAATGGAAATTTTCACCAGTCAAACCTCTAGTGGCGAAGAATATTGTCAATGAAAAGACGGCCGTATGCACAAGAAAGCCACATTTATCAATGCGAGTATGAGCTGCAGCCCGAAGCATGGACCTTCTTTGGTCTTCCAATGGTCCATGGTTTGCTGAAGGGGTTTTCATGTGTTCACACCGGTAAATCCACGAATTTAGGCCAATCTATTGAGAGTTGTTGTATTGTGCCGGGGTTCCCAAAATTTATCAAAATTTATATCATTGTTTGGCATTGCAATTTCGGCAGACTGAATTTCGCACCATTTCCCCAAGGAGTCCATTTTTTTGGGGGGGCCATTCACAGCACAACAGCCATGCTCTGATTTGAGGTGGCCATTTTGACGTGGTACAACGCACAGGCTGCGGGATGGGACCATGGAATGCTGGGTATTTCCTAAGTAGGGCTACCCCAAATCATGGTTTAGATATAGGGAAATCATCCCCTTTTATGGCCCAATTCAGGTGAGTGAAATATGCTCATTTACCCAGATTCATGTGATTTTCGGATTTTCCATGAAACCATCCAGCAAGCTTGGGGTACCGCCAGCCATTCGGAAACCCTGGATACCTTGGTGATGGAAGATTGATCCATAGTAACCTCGAAAAGTGTTTCCAAGAGGTTATAGATGATATTTTTTGATACATATTACCAGGCCTCCCACTTTTCGATCTTTTTGGGGTCTACTATACCCAGTCCAAATGTATTTATAACTTTGACCCATCACCATACGTTAGCTTGGGACACGTATTTGTGGCCCACCTTGCTGTTCGAAATTCAAACCCCTGGAAATCTGATTGCCATGAGGTAAACGAATCATAACCCATTCCCAATATATACTTACATAACATACATACATACATACATACATACATATATATATATATGTATATGGGTAAATTATAACGACCTCACTGTTTTCCCGAACCCTGGAATCATGGTTTATTTAGGGGAATCATCCCCAAATGGCCCAACAATTCAGGTGAGTGAAATACTATAATTTGCCCATTCCCAATATATACATATATACATATATATATAATACATTTATATATATTACATATATATATAATACATATATATATATTTATAATACATATATATTTATAGTACATATATATATATATTATACATATATATATATATACACTCAAAGGTTTATGAAATTGGGTATACCTCCTATGACAAGGATAATTTAAACTGTAAATGGTTGGCCCATCCGAGCTGTTTTGGGAGAAACTCCGAAGGTTCAACAGTTGAACGAGACCTTGGAAGGAACTGGTGTGTCCTGGCGATGTTGCCGGATGGATTGAACAAAAAATGGTTGGGAAATAGATGTTTACCCTCTGGTAATTTAACATAGAGACCTGGAAAAACACCATTTTTAATAGGTGAATCAACGAAAAAAACACTATTTTTAATGGGTAAATCCACTATTTCTATGGTGTTCCATAGCTATGTAACAAATTACCAGAGGGTAACCATCAAGAAATCGGGATTTCATGGGATTTCATGGAGTCATTAGGGACGAAGAACAGAGGGTGTGGTTTCAAACAGAAACCAACCATAGAATACACAGTATAAACAATATATAAATATTCTATTGTATCAATATATATATATGTATGTATATGTATATATGTATATAAACAGTATAAGATCTTGGATGTTTGATCATCCGAAAGGGAGATTCAACCAAAAGGCGATCTCACAGCATGCAGTACCCAGTAGCAACAACTATGGGAGACAATGGGAATCATTAGAAAACACCGTCTTAATGTGTCTCAAAGCAAAAAGCAGCGATGGGCAAAAGCCTGGAGCAAATCTTTGATGAAATCCACATCCATCGGAACCACCAGGTGTATGTTGGCGGCGTCGTCAGCTCCCAGGGTAATGATCCTTGGTAGCACGAGTGCTGGGGCAATCTGTGTTTGGAACACCCCATGGTTTTTGTTGGGCTCAACGGAGAATCATGTTCGGCATTCTCCCCAAAAAGGCAGCAAATGGTTAGGAAGTGAGGGATAAAAATTTGCTTACTGATTACTGATTCTGGTTGGTTGGTGGTTTTAAACATTGGTCTATTTTCAAATAGATTTTGGGATGATGATCCCCGCTGACATGTTTTTCAAAGGGGTTTCTCAGCCACAAGCTAGGTTTAAAGTGTTTTTGGTGCTGTTCATATATGTCTGGAACAATCAGACCATAAATTTTGCACTGTTTCGATTGCGATCCTCCAAGAGGAAGAGTCACCCCAGAGCAAGCGTGGGTTATGTGGGTTATGGTGAGTTGTGGGTCACGGGATAAAGAAAAGCAACTTAAGGTGGTATCCCCCCAGTCATGTTTGTTGGTTTATAAGCCCCATGAAAACCATAGATACATCATTTGTCACCCCAACTTATGATCATAGTTTTTCTTTCCATTATGATCCCATACTATATCATGTACATATATATATATCCAAGATAGTGAATGGCCATTAAGCAATGATATTCCCATTGTAAATCCCCAATGTTTAACCAACAAAATCACCGTTTTGCTTTCCTTTTCCCAGAATTGTTGGTGGTTAATTCATTTTTTTTGTAGCTTAAATTCACATTAAGTGTCCCATTTATACATAGCCCATATGTATAATCCCTGTGAAAAACAATAATATTCACATCATATCCCCAATTTCAAACCATCAAAATCACCATGCGTCTTTCCCCATCAATAACAATCCAGATCGACCCACTCTAAAATCCCAAAAATCGAAAATCTGAAAAAAAAAACAAGAAAGAAACTTGAGATTTCTCCAGAAAAACACCATCTGGCTTTCCATATGGTTTCCATCAAAACCGATGAGTTTTTCCCTGGTAAATCCCCTTTGGTTTTGTGGGTTGTTATCCTGTTTTTCCCGAGTAGCTTGACGGCCTAGAAACTGCAACATTTTGTGAATCAGGCTGCAAAGAACTGTCAATCCATCCCAGTTTTTCCATAAAATCATGAGATATACATATATATATACATATGTATAGATATACATATATATATATTCATATGACATATAAACCATGAAAACACCATGGCTTTCTAATCTGGTTTCCATTAGACCATGGCTAAATTTTCCCCTGGAAAAATCGCCTATTTTTTCCAACGGCAAGGAATGGGACTATGTGATCCTCAGCACGGTTCGCAGCAGCCCGGGCGGTCTGGGGGCTCTGGAGGATGAGCATCTGCTGGACGTGGCGCTGACGCGCGCCAAGTACGGTGACGTGGTCGAAGAGAAGGGAAAAAGTTGGGAAAAATCATGGGGAGATAGTGCGAATATAATGGTTTTATGTGGTTTTCATGGGGGTTTGAAGTGCTGAAGTGGAAAAGCCTGGAGTATCTCAAGATTGTTTGTTGTGTATTTATCTGGTTGGTGGTTTGGAACATGTGAATTATGACTTTCCATATATTGGGAATAAGGTGAACAACTGACTAATATTTTTCAGAGGGGTAGGTATACCACCCACCAGTAGTGGTTCTCATAGGGATAATAGGACAATCATAGGATAATGGGGTAAAACAATGTCATGTTTACCGCCCATGACTGGAAATGGTAACCATACCACCTATTGAAATGGTGATGACTGGGGATGGTTTATGACATTGTTTTGCCCACATTAGTGGTTTTCATAGCGATTTGAAGGGTTGAATGGTGATTTGAGTGGTCTAATAGTGGTTAAGGAGGTATGTTTTTTTAACATGGGGATATAGCGGGAGATAATATAAAATAGAAAGCCGACCGTATCATTTTGAGAGTGTTTGAAGCTTGGAGATTAGCCCCAAAGCCTCAAATTATGTCATGGGTGCCAGATTGGATTTCGTGACGGTTCTTGACGAAGTTGATGATTTTTGCAGGGGGTAGATGGCTTTCAGCTGGGACCCTGTGAAACCAAGATCATTTGCGGGACCCGCTGGTAAACATGCAAAAAACTGTGGGAAAATCACCATTGTTGATAAGTAAATCAATCCTAAATGGTCATCTGGTTGGTGGTTTCAAACATTTTTTTCCATAATATATGGGATAATCCTTCCCGTTGACTAATATTTTTCAAGATCGTTAAAACCACCAACCAGTCATGTTCAATAGCAAACTGTTGGTTTTCCAGAGGGTACCCCGCTCCTGCCAGTCCAAAGCATAGGCAGGTGTACGTGGCCAATCTTCTGAGATACTGATGCCACGTCGACTGAACACTGTTCGCCATTGGTCCGGTTACAAAGTCAGGGTCACCATGACTCCAGGTATGGGGAAATGGGCCCATGGGCAGTTCGTCGATTTATCTTTTCAAATCACGTCAGGATATGGTTTGCCAGAGGATATGGGACCCATTCTGCCATAATTCTATGAAATCCCAATGCTCATGGACAAAATCATCCCAATATTCATGGATTACCCACTAAGTCCCTATGAAAATCCCATTCAAATCTCATGAATCACTATTTTCCCAGTGTCGACCAACCTCCGCAATGTGCCCATGGCATCGAGGTATGTGTGTCTTGGGCACACCCGAGACATTACGTCGGATCAATGCCTGGGCCTGCCACGTGGCTGGAAGCTGGCATAGCAACCTCCAAAAAAAAAAGATGCAGGACAAATAAAGGTTTAATGGGATTACAGGGTGTTTTAATGGGATTCAATGGTGTTTTTAATAGCAACTAATGATCTCAATCCATAGCATACAACCCATTAATGGTCAAAGAAAATGATGTTCGTGGTTTTCATATCCCTTATGGGTCGTAAAAACCATGGTTCCCCTGGGATTTTACCAAGAAATCTACGTCAATCTTAGATGGTTAGTTTAATCCTTTTGTCTTGGTATCTGGATTATCTACGTTCGCCAGCTAAGAATTCGTCATTTTTTACAGGGTATCTAAGATTGGCCATGAAAGGTGCAGAAAAATGATGGGTTTAATGGTATTTAACGGTGTTTTAATGGGATTTAACGGTATTTTAATGGTGATTCGCCCTCTGGTAATTTGTTACCCCAAAAAAAGGTGCGGAAAAGGGAGAATTTTTGACTACAGTGGATGGTTGCGAAATACTGCACCAGTGGGCAACTATTGGTAACTATGACACTGTAAATAATGGGATTATAGCGGAACAAAAAATCTACCAAGTGGGGCAGGATTTCGCAACCATCCACAGTATATTAAGGGTGGGTGGCCTACGAACTTCCATCTTTTTTGGGGAAGTACTATAGTTAAATCTCCAAATGTCTAGGTTGATAGTTGATATTCATCACTTTGTTGATGAAATTCCGACTAGCAGTAGCATAATTAGCCATATTGTAGCCTGACAAAGGACGAGATTTATCTACATTAAATCCCATGAAATCACCATTTTCAACGAACTATGATGATATTCAAGATCTTCCGGTAAGCACTGTCTTTTGATATGTTCCACCTCCAAATTCCCACAGATTCGTCCAGAGATATGCCATTCCCAAATCCCTTTGATGTTTGAAAGCCAGTCCCAAAAACATCAAACCTCGAATTTTGAGGATGGCTTATATCACATTATACCAGGTACGGTGTATGGCTTTGGGTTTACCTATGTTTACCTCTGAAAACAAATTTCTGCATTGTAATGTTTGATCCCTCAAAATGGAAAGATGAACGGAGTTGAGTTCAAAAACCAACTATTTGTATAGCACATATAGGAGCTTACCACTTCTGTCTATTTAACCAAATAAGTACACCAACATGTGTATTCATGTTCTACAAATTAAGTGATTAGTGGAGTTCTCATTTAAAGTATCATGCTGACAATAATGTTTATATATATATACATCATTATATATCCCAAAAATGAACCATTAAGTGATATTTAAGTGATTTTTCCCTCAGTTTCCACTACAAATTCGTTGGCAGCTCATCCGTGGCGCACTGGCCGCATCGTCACGAGGTTTTTTGGACCACTGTGAAGCCAAGAACCTGGTCGCGCGCCAGTGGCATGGGATAATTCCATGGATCATCTGGTTATATCACTTATATCATCAATAAATGAGGGATATAACTAACTGGTTGGTGGTTTCAAACATTTTTCCATTCAGTTGGGAATGGAATAACATCCCAACTGACTTTCACTCCATGATTTTTCAGAGGGGTAGGCCAACCACCAGCCAGGGTTGATCATCAAAATGTGGGCTAAAAAACATTCAAACATCTGGGAAATGATGGTTGATTGGTTGTGAAATGGACGTAGAATCCACCGGATCTATTTGGTTGATTGTGGATCATTACGATCCACAATAGAATTGTCGGGTAAATTACAACGACCTCACTGCGACCTCACTGGAAATCATGGTTTATTTTAGGGGAATCATCCCCAAATGGCCTTCACTCAGGTTAGTGAATTATTATAATTTACCCAGAATTGTGTTTAGGAACTAACTCTATCTCTAAGCAGTATGATTGAACCATCAGAATCATAACCAGCCAAATTGCTGGGGGCTCATTCAGAATATCCCAGCAATTTATGGTCGGGCCATCATTCAGAATGGGTCGGTCCATGTCTGTCGGTGGGAGGTACGTTGGGGTTCACTTCTTGTTTCAAATAGCACTTACAGCCATGTAATAATATTAGTACTATATTGTAATATGAGTACTATATTAGCTATGTAATATTGTACCTAATATAGTACTATTGTAATACTAAGATTAGGTAATATTATAGTAGCTAATGTAGTACTAATATTCTAATATTCTAATATAGTAGCTAATGTAGTACCTTTGGATCTTTGAAAGATACCCTTTCAGCCCTGAAACTCTGGGTGATGTTTCCGTCGCAGCCTCGAAGATCCTGAACTGCGCAGAGTCGATCCCAAAGATATCCCAGAAAAAATTGGAAAAAGCACCAGAAATGCGCCGAGATTCATACTGAAACCATTTTTTCTTTAAGAAAACAACATGAGGAGCTGTTAAGAGTCAAAACTGGAGCTTAAACCACCCTGCTAAACCTCGGTGAAGGGTAGATCGGTACTCCAAGGTTGGCCATGTCTGGTATCTTGATCAACACTTACCCTCTGGTAAACTAACGTAACTATGGAAAATCACAATTTTTAATGGGTAAATCCACTATAAATGGCCATTTTCAATAGCTTTTTGTATGTTTACCAGAGGGTACCCCAAAAATCAGCCATTTTTTGCAGGTGAATCTTTTCGCAGCACTACAGAATCATCGGATCATCGGCATCCCATCCACATAAAATCGGCTTCGATTCACGACCCATGGTGAGATGCCCAGCATCTGAGGTGATTCATTCCCAACCCTTAGTTCTCTAGCCCGCTTCGCTTCGCTCTTCGCTGCCATGCTGCGCCTTGGCATCGAACATCTCGTCCTGGCTTCGGCATGGAAGGCTGAACTTTGAGAAGGAAATAGTGGGGCCTGGTATTTCGGATGGTCCACTCCATCCAACAGTGGGGGACATGGTCGTAAAGCTTTGTAGAGGGCCCATCAGGATACTTTTGAAGCAGATCTCATCCCATGGTATATTACCCCTCATTTGACGCCGATGCTAAGGGGTTCTGAGACAGCACTGCCTGCGCGGTGATGCGCGGTGACGCGAAACATGCTGGATAATGCACGGCACGTGGCAAGAAGTGGGAATTCCACAGAGAGACGCTGATGATATGATTGATTGTTTACCAATCACCGGGGAGTGTCCGCTTCTTGGATCAACCATCATATGGGATTATATTTAATGATCTTAATGATGGGGGATAACACGGTTACGATAACACTATTATTGACCAATCGGCAGGAATTCGTTTCCATTCGGGTCCCTCGCAACACGATTGTCATGTGGTATGATGGATATGTTCCCGAACGCAGATTTTTGCAATGATCACAAGAACGAATCAGCTGTCACAACAAGACTTGTTTTCCGACCTCAACTGCCATCTCTGTGTGCCATGCTTGGATCATTCCCAGGAATCATACCCGGCACCATGTTTCCCGATTATAGATGTGATAATTCAGGAGTTGGGGATGTGTCAGTCAGGATTGCTGTGCTTTTCTGAATCCTTTTTGTTGGCGAAGCTGTGAAAACTGTGTGAGACATGATCATTCCCAGATGCTCCATGTAGTGTGATTATACATCTGCAGAAATTGACTGGTAAACGACAGTGATTGGTTCATTTTATCATACACCTTCAGCACATGAGTAGCAGTTTTCTCCCCCTTACGTTGCTGGTTACTTGGTGGCTCATCCCAGTAAGCAACCCTAGGGATATAGCCTACTTATCCGAAATCACCCGGGTGAACCATTCTCCTTAGAATTCGTGGCACGTTCACCACCTGCCAAGTATCCTACCCTGATAAACCATAGTGAAATTGCAGTTATAAATTATGAAATTCCGTTCAATCCCATTATTCTCCATTATTCCCCATTAACTTTCTAAATGAAGTTTGCAGAGCAGAGGGCGTTTCGCTTGGCAGGGACCCCCTACCGTTTAGTGCGCTTTGTTTTTTCGCAGCATTGCAGCCCTTTACCAAGTGGCTCAGGCTGCAGAGTTGATGGCTGGCTTGCATCACATCCACGCGCCCTGAACTCAATGTCCAAACCATGCCAAGCAACGATGTTCGTGTGGCCTTGCCTGAGCACACCTCGTCGTCATCGTCATGATCATCATCATCATCATCATCATCACCGCCATCGTCGCCACCATCCTCGCCCCGTCCTCGTCCTCATCGCCATGACCATTTTCAGAACCATCTTCATCATGATCCTCCCCATCATCACCACCATGATAATCATCATCCTCATCACCAACCCCATCGTCATCGTCATTGCCATTCTCACTGTCATCATCGTAATCATCATCACCACCACCATCATCACCATCATCACCATCATCGTCATCATCGTCATCGTCATCATCATCACCATCATTATCATCACCACCACCGCCACCGCCAGCAGCACGACCACGACCATCATCACCATCATCATCATCATCATCGTCGTTATCATCCTCATTGCCATGGTCATTATACTCATCGTCATCGTCATCGTCACCGTCTTATTCCTCCTCACCGCCATCGTCGTCGTCATCATCACCGCCATCACCATCATCATCGTCACCATTATCACCATCATTATCAGCATCATCATCATGCATGCCCCTTCGACAGGGTATCAATGGGCTACCTGGTCGGTTGCCGTTTTTCGCCAAAACAGACGTTCACAGGTAGCGTTGGGACGTGCAGGTGCACTGGACTCAAGTTGGATTGCGCCGAGGCTTGACATCATCCACGTGGACATCAAGCCTGCCAATCTCTTCCTCACAGAGACTGGCAGGTTCAAGCCTGCAGGCATGGCTACATCATGTGCAGCCCGTCGGTGATGCGCAAGGCAGCGCATCCCGTTACAGAGGCCGTGGGAACTGCCGCTACGTTGGCGAAGCAGCTAGACGCGCTTGCGACGCAGATTGCTTGATTAAAGGGTTTGCGCCGCTTCAGGACGTTGTGTTTGAAACAACAGGCCCTCCCCCAATCCACTCCGCGCAGCCCTGCCACGTTCAAGCAGTGGCGGACCGCGGACCGCGGACCTACGGCCATTCTTGTATGCACCTGACAGCGCTAGGCTTGACATCCCGGTGGAGCCGATTCTCCGGCACAAGTTCTATGTCGAGGTTTGGTCCCTGATGAGGTGCAATCTTTGTATGTGTACATCCTTCTGGGGTCCATAGCGGGTTAGAAAAGCAACTAGGGTCATAGTAGTTCTTACACCCGCCAAAGAACCCAGAAAGTACCATATTCACTTCACTGGCCAACGTTTAGCATCAACCCCCTTGTTGGCAGGTCGGTGTCCCAGATCAGGGATGGAGCCAAGTTTTCGGGGAGGTGGTGGAGCCACACTCGTTTTTGCCGTGGGCCCCTTCAAGATGGCTGCGAGGCGATCTAGAGGCTGGTACTGTTGTTCAGCCTCCCATATCATGTAGTCATATCCATTGTCAAGCAATAGGTAGAGATGCAGCCCTTCATCATGGCAAAGTAATCACATTGAAAGTATCAAGATTTAAGAGAACCAAGCTTCAGCCGCTCCCCGTCGCGTGCCAGGCGTGACTCCAGCCGGCCGTGCTGACCTTTCGCTGCTGCTGAGCCCAGCCAGAAGTTTCAAAAGTGGATGCTCAAAATCCGGGCAGCATGACAATGCCCCAAAACAGCCACAGGGAAGGTAATCTTTCTCGATGTCGATGGGTATTCGACAAGTTTATACATGAGGTTTATTTGCAACTGCGGCAAATTCAAGAATTGATACTTGGCAGGCGCACTGACAATTGTGGTGGATTTGGGGCAGAATCAAACACGACAAGACGACGGCTATGGTTAGGTCAAGGTATGAGTTGGTTTTCTGAAAGGATGGTTATTTCGCATTCTCTCAAGTCTCAAGCCTAATCATCTTTGCTTTACATCATCTTTGATATCTTTGCAAAAGGCAAAAACTAGGGTTGAAGAAGCTTCGGCTACAATTTCAGCTGTACGCGTGCTTTTCGTTTGCTGGACCATCTTTTGATCAGCGTAGTCGATCTGAATCCAAACCTTGCTGTGGATGTTGCATGACTTCGTTTGACAGCTTTACAAATTGAGCCAGGGCAGGCACAGATATTGATAGAAACATGTGCGCTTGCGGCGTATGTAGATGGATGAGCCAGTAATAGCAAAATGGTTTACCCAAGTTATTGCAATCGGGCTTACAGTAGTTTGCACATCGCGTCAGCCATGTGCATGGAACGGTTGAAAGTTTCGACGATCAAGCCTGAATTCTTGGCGGATGTGCTGGGTGAGGCCAAGCAATGCGCACTACCGAGGGATGGTAGCCCTCGAGGCCAGTGGAACCCGAAAAATATGGGCAACCGGGCAGCTCGCAGTGGTGAAGTGGTTGAGCAACAATGCCTTGGCAACGCCGCTGGCTGTCTCCCAGCTCGTCGCTCACATTGTCTCCTGCCTTTTCGCCTTTTGTCTCCAACATTGCTTGTCTCCACTTTGTACTCCGCCTTGTCTTCCAAAACCCCCCCACTATGTCACTCACTTTGTTTCGGCTTTGTCTCCCGGCCTGTGTCCCACTGCCCCCCACTATGCCACTCACTTTGTTTCGGCTTTGTCTCCCGGCCTGTCTCCCGCTTTGTCTCCCACCTTGTCTCCTACTTTGTCGTCAACATGTCTTTGCTGGAAATTTCAGAGAAGAGGCTTTGACGAAGGAGTTCCACTCCTTCCTTGCCGGCAGACACTCCAAGAACAAGGAGCTTAGCGAGAAGAAGCACATGAAGACAGAATATCAACGGTTTGGACGGTTTCTGCGGTTTCTGCGTTTCTTGTCATCATTGGTACTCGTACGACCAATTATACCTGTCATAGTGTAAACAACAAGTTCTGAAAACTAGTTTGATGTTCTGAGTGAGCCTGGCCGACATCTGTATTGACACAGTATGTTAATACATGTACGGGATTCTATGCATGCAACATGTTAATATATCAGCAAATGGGACATGTGCAACAAATCGCATAATAAATTTGGCGGCCTCTGGTTTACCCCTCCCACTGAAGCATCAAGATTTTATCAAGCATACGCTCCGCGGTCTATTGCCCATTGGCCCATTGTAATAAACAAAGGGATGCTCAGAATGAGAACGCGGACACGTCAATATCCTCAATATTTCTTCAGCATCCACCATTGACGGACGCTCCTTCTTTGTGTGGGAGATCAAGGATGTGTACGACCATGGCAGACAGGCTGACTTGTTATTCGGAAGCACGTAGATGCACCAAGCTTGATTCCAATGGCATGATACACCCTTCAATCAGTGCAGGAGGACAAGAAAACGACAAAAGCAGGAAAAGAATTGCACAAAGCCGCGGCAGACCCTACACAAAGAGACGCAGGACTCCACAAACGCCCACTCCATGAAGGCTTACGAGGCGGGCGGCCAGAGGAAGTTTTGTTCGAAAAATTCGAATTTACAAACGACCCCATTCTCCTTTGGCATCTCCCCATCTTTCGTGCGATTCCTGGGCGGATCCAAGTACCAAACCTCCGCGGCCAAGACGACCGCGGCGGACCCGAAAATTTTCAGCGCGAAGGGCCGTCCATTTCGCCACAACGCTGCCCAGAAAATGGATCCGGGGATGAGAACGGCAAGGTTGCAGTGGTGACGAGTGATGAGGAAAAGCCAGTAACTCTCATTAATATGATAATATGGTTGTTTTGTTATGTTTATTACTGGGTTGTATGGCTGCATATCCAATGAAGTAAACCTAATCACAAACCATATATACCAAATTGGAATTGTTTTTAGGACTTATTTCCAAAATGACCGGTTGGGTTTGTTCTTGGTGAAGGGTGATGAGGTAAACCCGGCATTGGATCTACCTCTGCTTGAGATGATTTGAAAAATGGCCCCCAATTTAATGTTGCTTACTGGCATTGTTTACTATTGGGCTTACCACATTCCTCTTGTATCTGGGGATACAAGATGAGGTCTAGTGAAGTTTAACCAACCAGAAAGTGGTTTTTGACCGAAGCTGGTGGGATTTATCCGGACATGAATCTCACTACAAAGGCAGAGGCCCATTGCCACGTCAGATTGCCTATGCTCCTGTACAGTGACTTCCATTTCGATACGAATCAAAATTAGGCCCCACCAGAAAAAAGGTTCGGTTGGCACTAACGAGTTTCTCGGCCGGCCATGTCAAATTGCCATTCCCCTTCTACCACCTTTGGGACATGGTTGACGGTGGTTCTCGCTCCCAGTTTGAGACCGAAAAAGGTCATGGGTCAAAATTACCACCAAGCATGAATTGAGATCCTTGCTCCCAGATATGTTTCCTGATTTAGTTTCACCCCATAAAAACATATAAAAACTCGTACGATGAATATCTACCATAAACCCAGCAAAGACGAGGGTGAGTTATAAACCACCCCTAGCAAAAGTAAATCACGACCATACATCCCCCCCACGTTTGCTGATGAACATCCCCATGTTGATGAGTTAAGTCCCTATCTTTGGTGGGTTAACACCAATTTATCAACTATAGACCCGATGAATTTTATATTTACCATGAACCAGAGTTAATTATATCTACCATGAACCATTGTTTATATGTTAATGGGGTTTATAGTTTATAATTGACAAATTTGGGGTTGATACTTGATAAATTGAACTCACCTTCGCTACCCCGTTAGTTATGCCCTACTCGGAGGTGCGGGCCCATTTGGTAAATGGATCCAAATTATATATATGTGTGTGTATATCTGAAATAATATGAAGGTTTCTATAAATGGAGGTGCCCTTAAATCATCCATTTTAGATTGGGTTTTTTCATTATAAACCATCCAGCTATGGTGGTAGCACCATTTATGGAAACCCCCATATGGGATGAAATTTGCATGGATTATATCACATATATAATGGAATCTATAAGGCTTATGCATATATATATATCATATATACATATATATATATGGTTTATAATCCACATGATCTCACAAATCCTTTAAGTGGGAGGTTGCACGTTGCACCTCTAAGCAGTGAAACTTAGCTGCGTCGCCAGGTTGCTGGTGAAAGCGAGGACCTGAAATGCGAGATCTCGCCCTTGGTCTCCTATGACGGCGAGGTTCCGTTGGAAGGGCGATGCGATGGCATGGCTGTGGAGGAAGAATTCGGAAGAATGGAATGGCATGTTTTCGTTTTTTCGGGATGCATTTTTTGCGTACAAGACCAACCAGAATGCGGATCAAATGAAAAAGATATAGTGGAACGTATGGCAGACAACATGATTTGGATTTGCCTGGAAATATGCAAATAGGGTGCCCCCACATGCTTTAGAAAGAGATTGTCCGGTCCCTTAAAACATAAAAGTTGAGTACATCCAATTGTTGGACAAGGCCATGTTTGTGGCGCTGCAACAGAAGCAGCTGGTCCATTCAGCGAACTGCACAATGTTATAACAATTTGGGTTTACCCTCTGGTAATCAAACATGCCAATGGAAAATCTCGCATTTATTGATGATGTTCCCAGAAAAACACACATTTAGTAGGGAATGTTCCAGCTAGCCATGCTTGAGTACCGGGTAATGTTCAATGAATAGGTCAAAAACCTTGGTTGTGGATGCTTATGCCCGCAGCTTAAAAAAATGTGTCTCCATGCTTGGTGGTTCATTCTACTAGTAAGTAGGTTATAACCCTGGTTTTGTTAATGGGCTAAGTAGGCTAAATCCAATCAAAAAACTAGGGTTAACCAACCCACTTACGATTTGTGGGTAGTTCACCACTAAGTGGCATCGAATTTCCCGAAAATTCAGATGTATCATGAACCAAGACCCGATTTTTACTCATACTTACAGGATTCATCCCACGGATCGTTAGTGGTTAATAACCTTGGTCAGGTTTATCATCGATTTTCCTGGGCCATTTCCATGGCTATGTTAAATAAGCTAACCGGGTACCCCCTTTGGTAAGCAGTTGCAGCAATCCAAGTGGGATACAATACACCAACTCTTAGGACAGGCGCCGCCTGCTCGGTCGCGAGTGACGACAAAACAAGCAGACACAGGCGGGCTGCTTTAACCTTAGTGAAAGGTGGAAAAAATCATTCAGGTTATCGTATGATTTGGTACTTAGGGAATATAGGGAATATTGAAAAATATGGATTTTCCCCTTGGAAGTCCCCAATCTATGGGACTCTATGGGAAACATGTTTTTTGGGGAAAGTCCTTAAGCAAATTTAAGTTTACTAATCGGGTCAATTCCCTTAATCTACCACTAGTTTGAGCTAATCATTACGCAACCCCTGAAAAACATTGGTTTAGTAGGGGAACTTACATATCTTTTGGACTTCCCTATCTTGGTGAAGTCATGGGAATTTATGTGGGGATCAACTCGGATAAAGCCCATATCACAATCACCATATAAAAATCAATATCAACCCCATGAAAAATGTGGTGATTTATATGGTTATATATATATAGCTGATAATGGTATATTAGATGGAGATTAAAGTAGATGTATGGTGAATTGTGGGATAAGTATAAGTCTAGAAAACGGCACTCCTTGTTGCTTTGGAGTGGGGTGCATCCCAATCAACTTGGCATAGCTGCGAGGGTGGGATCATCCCTGGTCATTGCTTAGTGGCTATCCGATGACACATGGCCAAAACAAAGATATGGGTGATGGAAAACCAAGGAAAATGAGATTATAAACCAACTATGACGTTTTTGTGAGCGAGAGAATCCATAGTGGATATGGAGGGGGTCAATATTTTCTTGTAATCCCTAATGATGATAGGATCACCATACCCAACATACCATGTTTTGACCACGGCACTCTGGCACACAAATCATGACGAATTTCGGACCCGTTGCTAGCCACTTACCAAACTACTGCGGTCATAAAGCAGCTTTGAAGCATTTGGGACCCATTGATGAATCATCCCTGCCCTAGTAGGAGTATACCCGGATTTGTCCCCAAAAAATTACCTGTAAGTTGGAGAACCATGATGATTTGGGGTTCAATCATGGTGTAATGCCAACCCTGGATTAATAAACCCCTAGGCTGTTTGATTGGGAGGGTACCATTTAAGTATTAGATTATGACTATTGGAGGGGTACCCCCTTAATTAATAAACCATGGTTTATTAATCTGGGGTTGACATTAGATCACCAAGATGACAAAGACAGAGCATGTAAAACGCGGTGAGGTCACAGCGACCTGGGGTGAGCGCTTTTTAACAGGTGAAACCGCGCTGACATTCACTGAATTCGTACACTCAGTAAGTTCAACGGGGTCCTCAAAAAAGTTGAGAGGCTACAGCTGGCAATCGCACACTTTGCAAAAAGTCTCTCAATTTATGTTTACATTATTTGTTCTCTATTTTTCTCCATTTGTTCTCCATTTCTCTTAAAATCTCGGGGGTCACTTTTCTCCACTGGGTCCCCAGATTCTCGCCGTAGGGGCACCGACAAAACGACCATGGCAGAGAAACGAAAGCCTGGCGGCTCAGGAAGTGGAGGAACATAGAGGGGAAACCTTGGTTGAGATTGTTTCTGTTTTTGAGTAATGGGTATATGATGATTTTCATGGATATATAGATATATTGTACAAATAAAATGCAACAAACATGGTTGAGGTTATTCTTGTGTTTACCCCTTTCATGGGTATGTATTATGTACATACATGTATACTGTACCATAAAAATTAGATACATATATATATATACACATATTATATATATATACATATTAACGCTATATATGTATGTATATGTTTTCATAGATAGATTGTACAACAAAATGCAGCAAACATATATGTGTAATTGTTTATGTACATGTGATTGGATGTATATATATATATATACTATACATTCACCAGCTACGATAATCAGGTGTTCCCTAAATGAGTTCTAGTGCCCCAAAAGCATTGGTCGTTTTTCTCATTGAAAGATGACCAACTTGGAGGATTTTGGGCGGCTTCAACGATGGTTGGTGCCGTTTTTTATGGGATGATCCATTTCTCAGCGGCCAACTTTGCCCACCCGCTTTGTGGAAATCGAAAAGAGGCCACACCATAGTAGAACCCAAATTTACAGGATGGTGTAGATGAATGTTGATGCGATTTTTTTTATTTATTTACCCCATACTTCCCAGGTGTGCAGTTTTTTTGTCTATTCTTGGGGCTCTAAGTTAACTATTGGCTTCATCATCAACCTTCGCCAAGCAAATCTATGGTTGTCTCACAAGTTAACACCTAAAAACATATAAAAACCGTTGCCCTCTGGTAATTTAACATAGCTATTTAAAATGGCACCTTTATAGTTGATTTACCTATTAAAGATGATGATGTTCCATAGCAATCTTAATTTACCAGAGGGTAGAGGATGGACACCGCCCCCATTTTGAGGCAAACATCCACTCCACTTGAGAGACATCTCTAGCTGTTTCTTGGAATTGGCGACCCCGAAAGCAGTGCTTCTCCTATGAATAATGAGAACTGGTTGGTGGTTTCAAACATGTTTTATTTTTCCATAATAAAATGGGCTAGCGCCCAGGTGCCGCCGACCCCCCGAATTGGAGGGGGGGTACTGGCAATCAACCTGGGGAGTATGATGTAGCACATGATCCCACATATATATATATATACCTTCACCTACCATACACGCAAAAAAAGGCAGGTGTGACTTGAAACACAGGGTTTGCACAACAAAACGAGGGGTGTAAAAACCACCATGTATCCCGTCCTAGCCGACTCACGCCTCCAGTCGTTTTGGTCCCCAAGAATGCAGCGAACTTTGTCTGAAGTGGCTTGGCGCTAAGCGGACTGAAGCTTGGACGCCCAGAAAAAGCCATGGATGTGGGCGCTGGAAGCCTATAAGAAGCCATTGAAGTGGCCTTTTAGGGGTTTGGAGGGTTTGGAGCGTTTGAGGCCTGGCAAACGGCAAGCTTGGACGCCCAGAAAAAGCCATGGATGTGGGCTTTTGCCTGCGCTGGAAGCCCATAAGAAGGCATTGAAGTGGCTTTTTAGGGGTTTGGA